GTAAGTACAAACCTTCAGTTGTCTCGAAAAAGATCTTGTGGCGTGAGAATTTTGTTTCATGCAGTTTTATGTAACAAGTTTGACATTTATGACTCCAGTTATAAAAGCTGATGTTTATGTTAGTGTTTCAGTGGACAAGAAAAGATATACTAGCAGTTATAAAAATGATGACTTGGATAATATGGATAACGATCCAGTATATTTTGATATATTTGTGCTACTTACATTATCGCCATGTTTAATTAAATGCCCCTTATCATATATTGTTTAGTTATTGACCAAACTGTGATTGAATGAATGGTAATGTTGTAAATAGTTGTTACCATTAAGTAAGACAGTGGAAATATTGGTGATAATAGTGATAATAAGGAGGACGAGGAGGAGGATACTAATAATGATAACAATAATAATAATAATAATAGTAGTGGTAGTAGTAGTAATAATAATGATAATAAGAATAACAATGATAATAATAATAATGGTAATGACAGTAATCATGATAAAAATGATGATAACAATAAGAATAAGAATAACGATAACAACAAAAATAATGATAATGATAATAGTAATGACAATATTGATAATAAAAAAACTAGCCTAGTACACTAGCCTAAGACACAACGATAGAGGAATCATTGTTATTGTTAAATGTTGTTAAACATAGACATAGATAGACTTCAACAGACATCAGACAGAACACCCTTATTTGCATATTTAGTGATGAGTTCTGCCCCTCGTGTTTCTATTTCTAATCGCCAGACAAAGTGGCTAGATTATGAGCATGTAGTTTTGATTTGTAAATCTATCCTTTTTTTTACTCTTTGCTTGTCCACTTGTCTATTTGTTTACTGATTTATCCATCTCCTTGTTTATCTGTTTATTCATTTATTTCCTTTATTTCTTTATTCATGTATGCGTGGATTCATTTGCTTAGATATTTATTTATTTATTTGGTCAATCATCCACTTAATTATTTATTTGCTTATCTATCCATCTAACCATCTATCTACGTATTTATATCTCTATGTATTTATTCCTCTCTTTCTCTATAAAACGCATAGTAGATGTAGATACAAGATTAGACACTGAAATAATCAAAGTAATTAAGATCAAGCACGGAAAAAATAATAGAAAACACCTGTAGTAGTATAGGTATAGTTTAACAGAATTACTGATGAAATATTACTGGTGTGCAAAACACTTTTAACAGCAGTTATAGTGCCTACTATACTGTACCTAACCTAACCGTGACCATATGTTATATTTCATGTATTAGTTATATGATGATGGAGTCAACGATAGATTAGCGATTTATGCAAATGATAACACTGTAGATCCAGTAGTGCATAAGTTACTTTGCATGAATTACTGTACCTGTGTGAGGATTAAAGCTTACAGTGAGAGGCATGTAGTGTGATTTGTGCGGATTATACGGAAAATGACGATGAATTCTGTATAGCACTAGGATTTAGAAAGTCGCAATACAAGATGAGGATATTCTTCTATGATCAGTAAGAGGTACGAGATAGCTGTAATAACACACTTGAAGGAAGGAAGAAATGGGTAGATTGATTGACGTCACGGTGGAAGAAGTAAAAGAAAAAAAAAGCAAGACAGCACAGTATTTGACAGAGATGCAGCATTCAGGAATTTATAGTGATGAAGATGTAACATTTGCATAGAATGATGTGGGATGCTGTCGGTGCTAAACCAACGTTGGAAGCTATATGAACTGACAAAAATTGTGCTCAGCATCTGTTAGTGTTACAGTAATGGAACCCAGGACAGTGCAACCTTTAAAAGAGAGTCAGATCATTACATTCTGACAATCATGTTATTGCACAAGTGAAAGTTTTAGACAGAACGACAGAGGCAACGGCAGATCAAATTAAAACGAAATGTGCAGCAGCAGTTTGAAATGAACTCTAACGTGTATCATTATTACGAGATTAAAAAAAAAACTTTTGTGTTTTAAATAACTAGGGGATATACGTGGATATAAACAAAAAAAAAGAAACAACAACAACAAAAAATGTAATCTTGCATGAAATGTGTTAACCATTAAGTAGCTATACAAGGAACCCATTTATAACAGAGGTTAAAATAATAATCTCTGATACGCCGTTAAAGGTTCCATTTCATACTATCTATGATTGACAGTAACGCACCTACAGTCTCAAGCGTTACGAAATGTCGAAATACACGTAACGCTATAGAGTTGACGTTTACACATGCGCTTATTTGAGACCAACGAAACGGAATACAGGAAATATTTTGAAAACCGCAACACATACGACATGGGATACATAACGTTCGCCTGGAGATAACATGTAAATGAAATGACTAAGGTATCATTATTGTGACTGTACTGTCGTTATGCAAATTTTGACAGTAATGATGATACGGTAATGGGTTGTACGTTGGAAAGGTTATTATGTTATTCCTCTTGTTAGTAGTAGTCTTTGCAGTATTCTTGTTTCTTATATAAATAGTGATTGTCGTGAAAGATAGAATAGGAGACAGAGGATTGATAACAATAATTGATGATAATAATAATAATGATAATAATAATAAGGATAAGGATAAGGACATTGATAATAATGATGATTATATTAATGATTATTATTATTAATATTATCATTATTACTATTACTATCATTATTATCATTATTATTGTTATTATTATTATTATTATTATTATTATTATTATTATTATTATTATTATTATTATTATTATTATTATTATTATTATTATTATTATTATTATTATTATTATTATTATTATTATTATTATTATTATTATTATTATTATTATTATTATTATTATTATTATTATTATTATTATTATTATTATTATTATTATTATTATTATTATTATTATTATTATTATTATTATTATTATTATTATTATTATTATTATTATTATTATTATTATTATTATTATTATTATTATTATTATTATTATTATTATTATTATTATTATTATTATTATTATTATTATTATTATTATTATTATTATTATTATTATTATTATTATTATTATTATTATTATTATTATTATTATTATTATTATTATTATTATTATTATTATTATTATTATTATTATTATTATTATTATTATTATTATTATTATTATTATTATTATTATTATTATGATTATTATTATTAATATTATCATTATTACTATTACTATCATTATTATCATTATTATTGTTATTATTATTATTATTATTATTATTATTATTATTATTATTATTATTATTATTATTATTATTATTATTATTATTATTATTATTATTATTATTATTATTATTATTATTATTATTATTATTATTATTATTATTATTATTATTATTATTATTATTATTATTATTATTATTATTATTATTATTATTATTATTATTATTATTATTATTATTATTATTATTATTATTATTATTATTATTATTATTATTATTATTATTATTATTATTATTATTATTATTATTATGATAATAACAATAATGATTATTATGATAATAATAGAAATAGAAATAATCATGATAATGAGGAAAATGAGGAAACGTTCATAAAGATTATAGACATTTTTTTCTTATTATTATTATGATGATGATGATGATGCTCACTATCATATTGTTATCACTGTCTTAAGTATCAACATGGTTTCCTTATCATTATCATTGTTATTATTCACGTAATTATCACCACAATCATCATTATCATCGTTCGTTCTAATTACCATCCTTATTCTGATGTTGTTCTTGTGGAAGAGAAGGGGAGGGAGGGGGAGGGAGGGAGGGAAAAGAAAGGAGGAAGAGAGGGGGAAGGAGGGAGGGAGAGAGAGGGGGGGAGGGAAAATGAAGGAAGGAGGGGAGGGAGGGAGGGAAAAGAAAGGAGGAAGAGAGGGAGGGAGGGAGAGGGAGGGGGGGAGGGAAAATGAAGGAAGGAGGGAGGGGGAGAGAGAGGAAGGGAGAGGGAAAAGGAAGGGGAGGGAGAGAGAGAGGGAGGGAGGGAGAGGGAAAAGAAAGGAAGGAGGGAGGGGGAGAGAGAGGGAGGGAGAGGGAAAAGGAAGGGAGGGGGAGAGAGAGGGAGGGAGGGAGAGGGAAAAGAAAGGAAGAAGGGAGGGAGAGAGAGAGAGAGAGGGAGGGAAGGAGAGGGAAAAGGAAGGAAGGAGAGAGAGGGTAGGGAGACGGAAAAAGAAGGAAGGAGGAATTGAGGAGGAGTGAGGGAGGGAGGGAGGGAGAGGGAAAAGGAAGGAGGGAGGGAGGGGGGAGAAAGAGGGAAAAGGAAGGAAGAAGAGAGGGGGAAGGAGGGAGGGAGAGAGAGGTAAAAGGAAGGAGAGAGGGAGGGGGGCAGAGAGAGGGAAAGGGAAGGAGGGCGAGAGGGAGGGAGTGACAACGAGTGGACATAAATGCGATGTGGAGGGAATTATTCCGGTGATGGATTCACTTCTCATTATTCATCTATCTCTTCCTCCTCCTCCTCTTATTCCTCCTCCTCCTCCTCCTTCGCCTCCTCCTTCGCTTCTTTTTCTAACTGCTTTCTTCTTTCTTCTTATTTTTTATTCTTATTCCTATTCTTCTTGTTCTGCTACTATTACTACTATCTTTTCTTGTCTTATCCTCTTCTCATTATTTCTTCTCCTCTTTATAGTTATCTTCTTCCTCTGTTTTCCCATTTCCTTCTTCTTTCTTCTTCTTCCCCATATTCTTAATCACGCGTAAAGAATATATAATGGCAGCAGTAATCGAAGAAGCAGAAGAAGAAGAAGATATAGGTGGAGGGGAAGGAGAAAAGAATGGAAGAGGAAGAAAAGGGGGGAAAGGAAAACGAAGAGAAGGAGGAGGGAGAAGAGAATGTCTAGAAAAGCAAACAAAGAAAGGGAGGGGAAGGGGAGGGATATATATGGAAAGAGAGAGAGAGAAAGACAGAGAGAGAGAGAGAGAGAGAGAGAGAGAGAGAGAGAGAGAGAGAGAGAGAGAGAGAGAGAGAGAGAGAGA